GCTTTAACCAAGAGCCAGGTGGTGGGATGGGGGGAGGAGGAGGGTGAAGTTTGTGAGAGGGAGTGAGGCTGCCAGCGATTCGCATTACCCGGGTCGGGCTGAGAAGCCGGCCGGTCCCTTGCCACTAGGGGCAGGTGGGCGGCACGCAGGAGGTAGAGGTGGCCAGGCTGTGAGGAGATGGTGGGAGCTGGGGCCACAGGAGTCGGGCAGGTGGCTCAGAAGTCTCTTCCTCCAAAGAGGCCTGTCTGCCACCTCTGCAGCCTCCAGGCCCTGGTGGCCGGGCCTCACCTGCCCACAGGCCTGGGAGTCTCCTGCTGTCCATCTCCAGGGCTGGTGGAGCAGGAAGGTGGAGTGTCGAGGTGCGGGGGGCCTGCATGGAGTCCTGGACAGCAGCCAGGTGATGGTGGGCCCTTGCTGCTTTGGAGGTGGCAGGCAACCCCGGACCACCACCATCCCCAACCCCATGGGCTCCGTGGTGATGGGGAAGGCTGGCCCGCTTTGCCACGCCACTTGCATCCCCAGACGCACTGGGGGCGTGGTGAGCGACTGAGAAGAGGGAGGGAGGGAGACACACTGGCTAACCGTGTCAATAAATGAGTGGGTGTATAGCTATAAGGGATGTCTGACAGGAAAGACAGATATACTCAACAGATTTATACATCCAGTGTGCTAGCAAAACCTATGTCCATGAAGTCCTTCTGCAGATGCTAACAGAATCATAAAATACTATTAACACAATGTGTCTTTTTCATAATTGTAAAATACCTCGCATAGTGTGTGCCATAGGTGTGCATTTATTTATTCATTTATGCAGTCATGCATTCAGTCACTTGACTATCATTCAACAAATATTTGCTGAGGGCCGACTATGTGCCATGCATTGTGCCAGCAATATAAGAAAGAACAGAAATGTACAGGGTCCCTGATCTCAAGGAGCTTATAATACAATAGGGGAAACAGACATTAATCAAATAAGAATACCAATATATATTACAAATTGAGGTAGGTACTCTACACAAAAGGAATATGGTTCTATGAAAGTGTTTACTGTGAAGAATCCTGACCGGTCTGGATGGTCAAGAAAGGTTCATATTCATTCCCTTCCTTTTTGAGAAAGCAACTTTATTCTATTAAAATTCTCCTAATAAGCATACAATTAAGTAAATAAGTAAATACCCTAGCATTTCACATAAAGATGTTTTATAATAATGTAGATCCCAGTATAGTGCTTATATGGCTAGAAACACTCTAGAAGAAGCATCTTGAACAAAGTTCAACATGGCACTTCTGCAAGTGGAAAAGGGTATTGCAGTGATACACTTTGAAATGTTATTAGTACAGAATCTTGGTTCTGCCATGCCATGACCAGAATCATGCCATCTGCATATATCATGTATCTGCATCCACATAATCAACTAACCAACAAAAACCTGTATATCTTTCAGACCTCAAGGAATTAGTAAATATTAACATACTTTTTATGAATATTAGACATACACTTAGAGCAGGATGAATTCTAAGATCCAATTAACACTTAAATTTATTTACAGTCCAAAGCATAGATTAAAAAAAAAAATGTTATAAAATAAGAAAAACTGATTCATAACAGTGCTAACAGTGCTAAAAGAAAGTATTGATATGAGACAAGTATTTCTTCACTATGTTGGTATAATCCCTGATTTATGGGGAAAAAAATTGCTTTCATTTTAATCTGATTATTAAATAAACGTAGTAAAACTAAAGCACAGCATAAAATAAGCATTATAAACTAATGTTTTGATACTAAATCAGTTCCCAATACATGTGCTCTCACATTTCTAAGCCTCTGCAAGTAGCATTTCCTAGGATATCTGTCCTTACTTCCT